CTGCTTTGAGCTGGGGGTTGGACTAGATGACCTCCTGAGGTCCCTTCCAACCCTGATATTCTATGATTCTATAATTGGTTACTGTTGTATCTTTCCATCTGCCTTTCTCTACCCACTGTCTGTTGCCATAATTCACTTTGGAGAGCAAAGTGATCCAGTAGACATTTAGTACAATGTATCCCATGCTGAAGGAGTATATCCCAAAGGGGAGGCACCTGAATAGTCCAGAGACAGAAGAAGGGAACTATGAGATAGCTATGTGATTACAGATCCATCCGCCCCCCAAACATCCCACTGCAAATGTGTCCTGGGACTGTGCATAAAGCAGCAAGTAACTCCTTGAAAGCACCCCCCCCCATCTTCCCTTCTTGTTTCTGTGCTGCTCCCTACAGTATCCAAGTGTGGGAAAAGCCCAAGTGTATATGGGCTGCAGGCACAGGCAGCAACCTGCCGGGCCAAGCTTTGTTTCCCTGCTCCTGTGGCACCAGCTGGCCATGACAACACATGGCAGCCTCATGGCTGCAACAATTAATGGCCTCCAAACAGCGTGTATCTGAGTGGGGAAATGGAGAGTTGGGAGGAGAGGGGGAGGGGGAGGGGGTCTATAAGAGAAAAGGGACCAAAAAAGGAAAAACGTTAAATGGAAAAAGAAAGAAAGAGAGAGGAAGACAAAACAAAAACCAAGACCAGTGAAGCAGAACCAGAAGAGACCAGGCAAGAGAGACAGAAGGCTTTGTTCTAATAAAAATATATCAGAGTAACTCCACCAATTGACACCAACAGAACTAAGAGCAGTCAAGGTAAAAGGGAAAGACAGTGGTCACAGCATCCAGGCATGGAGTAATAAACTAATGGTGCCCATCTGCCAATCTATCACAAGCAGGGGGCTACGACATACAACCCATGTGTCAGGATCTCTTTAAATACTACTGCACTTGCAAGGTGGCAGGTAGCTGAGTGCAAAGCCAAAGAAGAGACTTTTTGGTGTTAAGAGTTATTTACAAATGCCATTGACACAAAGGAGATTTGGCACAATGATCACAGTGATGCAGAAAGGGTGGCATGTGGTATCTTACATCAGGGAAGGCAGGTTGCTCTTTAAATGCCAGAGGTAATGCCCAAGGTCATCATTGCAAATTAAGACTGATCAAGTCATCTGTGTCTGTAAACACGAGCACTGTGCAATACCCTTACCCAGGTGCCAGTCCATTCTTTCAACCTTGTCCTTATTACTCCAAGGCAGTAGAACACAGCTAATGTACTGTTGACCGAGACCTAGGTTCACTGCAGCTGTGCATCAGAGGCCTGATCCTGCTTCCATTGAAATCAATAGGATTTTTGCTGTTGATTTCAATGGGAGCAGAATCAGGCCCCGGGCAGAAATTACAGGGGCACGTACAGATTGCTGGGCTGCCACTTCCATTAATCCTAATAACACCAGCACTAATGAATCAAGAGCTGAGATTCGGATTTTGATAACCTTTTGCTCCATTCAGTCAGGAGAGTTGATGGGAAACATTTCTCATTATTTCCGAGGTCTTTTAATTTTCATGAGGTCATTGGAGCCCTGCTATCCCATTTGCACAGCCTGCAACGTGTGCAGAGTGACCCTGAGAAGACAGCGGAGACCTACAGGCCAGAAGAAAGGCATATCGTGATCAGTGTTGTACGCAATTGTCATTGAGATCAATCAATAGTTTTCACTTACAATAGAAGGGTGGAGTCCCTCACTTTTTCTGTTTGAAAATGAATTTAATGTTCATGAAAAGGGCTGAGCGAACAACGCAGCAAACTTGTCCTCAATGCATATAGCATTCACAGCAGCAGGGCAAGCGTCCTCCTTTCAAAGCCCTGCTAATGCGTGTCAACCCTGTCTATATATCTTAGGTGACTATAAAGTGCCTATCGCTGTGTTATTTAAACACTGAAATATTGTTTAGCATTTACACAACACTTTAGATAGTCCAAATACTGTACAAAAAAATTATTTTCTAGGCTTTACTACCATGCTCATGACTATGACATATGAGTACCTATTAAAGAAGAGCTAACTAATATTAGCAAGTTAACTAGGAGAAGTAGAATGGGCCAACAGACAGGTTACTGAACTGGAGCTCAGAAGGCCTGGGTTTGGTTCTTATCTCTAGCACTGACCTGCTGTATGACCTCAAGCAAGTCACTTCACCTTGCTATGCCTCAGTTCTCCTCTCTCTAAAGTGTGGACAATGACACTTACCTTCCTTTATTAAACACTTTGAAATCTATGGACAAAAAGTGCTAGGTACAATTAATTCCTCCTCACAGTTGTCTTTGTCAGATAGAAAGCAAAGATCATTGTCTCCATTTTACAGGTGGGGAAACTGAGGCACGGAGCGGCAAAGTGACTTGTCCAAAGCCACTCACCAAGTTGGCAGCAGAGCCATTATTAGAATTCAGGACTTTCTGACTTCTAGGCCTCTGCTCATTCCTTCAGACCATGCTGAAGGGACCATTTCTGACATCTTCCACTCCTTCTATTCTTACCACATCACCCAGTCCCTTCCTGTCTAGCCATTAGATGGTATTTCCTGCATCATTTTTATTTTTTCTGGACAGCCTTTTCTTCATAATCATCATCATGCATTAAAAGACAATCTTCATGCACAATGTCCACCTGTTTGTACTGTTTTCACAGCTGCTGCCTTAGACCTCCAGGGAAATCAAGAACTTAAACACCAGTAGGCCTCACCTCTAGAGTTGGTCCTCAGGGAAAATTGGGACTATCATATGTTGATCCCTTCTCTTCCTAATATTCTACTGCTACTTAGTTTATTATTCCTCTTTCACTCTACCCAGCTTCACCTGGTGGTGAAACCCAAGGTGAACACCAGTTCTACAGTACATAAGCCAGAGCAAAGCAAATAATGTCCATCTAGTAATTGATCTGATTAATTTAACATATTTTTGTTTGGAGAAAATATACGAGCAGATAGTGATTGCCTCAGATTTATTCGGTATTTGAATTTTTGCACATATTTTACTCTATGGATTTGATTTCCAGTATTAAAATTCTGAGCTGTGTCACTCAGTTGTGAGCAGCCAGATATATCACTTGGTAATGTTTCTGTTCCTTGATTGGCTGAGCACATAAGAACTTCTGGCTCAAGTACTTGCATGTGTTAATTTAAAATTCAGTTTCTACAAACATTGGCATTTGCCACTTGAAATCAAAGATGAATGCAAGAGGGACGTGAGCATGAACAGAGTGAAAAGGCCAAGTGAGCACTCACCAGCCTAAAAGCAAACACCCTTTGCTTCTGGGGAGTGCCTGCTGTGACTTTATGAGTGCCCCAACTCCCACTGAAGTCAGGCCCAAAAGATAATATTCACAACCATCATCATAGACAAAAAATGCATAGCCCCTGTGTTTTAACAAGGGATTTCCCATTAGGTACAATTTAGCCCAGTACACCTGCATTGCTGTCTTTGCAGCCACAAGGCAGAAAGGAGTGGTTTCTAAAGATTGATGTAGTGTGTTTATGCTAGTGATGAAAACAATCTTACATTCTTTCTTCCCAGAGAAGAGAAAAGCAATAACACACTGCTATTTTTCTATTTTGTTAAGGCATTTCCTACTACTTTTTTAACACCTAAAATTTACAGCATCTTTCCTTTTCATGTGCTTGCTTCCCCCCGATTTATTCCTGTTTTATACCGATGGAATGCCATTGAAATCAAAACTGGTGTAAAGCTGGAGTAGCACTGTTGGTTTATCAGGCCCTACATTTTTGGAGTGATGTTATGAGTCTGGTTCTTCTTTCCATGAACATTGGTGTAAATTACAAAAAGCTCTAGTGACAACATCAGTGACAGAAGTGTAAAACTGGTGTAAGTGAGAGGAGAATAAAGACCCAACAGGGCCGGCTCCAGGCACCAGATGAGAAAGCACGTGCCTGGGGTGGCACATTCTAAGGGGCAGCATTCCAGCCGCCCTGCCGTGGTTTTTTGTTTTGTTTTTTGCTTTGGCAGCCCGGTCCGCAGCTCCGGAGTTCCCGGCCGGCTACCTGCGCTCCGCCAGTCCCAGCCCAGCCCTGCAGGGGCATGGACCCCGGCCCGGGGGGGGGGGGCAGGAACTAGCGATCCCCGCCACTCACCGTGCGGCCGGGCTCCCCAGGACGTGCCACTCCCCGCCGCCTGCACCAGCCTCCGCCTCCCGCGCCGCTCTGAGCCCGGCCCAGCCGAGCCACCTTTAAAGGAGTGGCTGAGCCAGCACCTCCTACAACCCCCGGGGGCTATGCCTGCCCAGCCAGGAGAGACACCCCAAGGCCGGAGGGGGGAGCCCCTCTCGCCCGGCTGCGAGGCGCCGCCCTTCACCCCCCTGCGAGCCGCCTTGACCGCCCTCCACGCGCTCCCTGCGGCTGACGTTTTTTCTTTTTTTTGCTTTGGCAGTCCTGCCACCCTTTTTTTTGTTTTTGCGCCCTGAGACCCAATATGGTTAAAGGTGCCAGACTGAAAAACTCAATGGATATCACTTATTCCTTGGAATAGGTAGAACATGGGCTGCAGAGAGACAGGACAAGCTTTCATCCACACCGCTTCCCTCCATACCAGTATGCTTCAAACCTGATCCTGGTTGAGGGTGGCAGAGTGGCAGGTGGGCACCTCTATATGTGGGAAAGGAATTTAATTTTCAAGCAAAGTAATTTTTGCCTACTTTTCCAAGAGTACCAACAAGGGTGGCAACTGCAATGGTGAATTTTTCCCCAACATGGATGTCAATTAACTATGAAATGGTCCAGTCAGAGCCTAGATACTATAGTGATCAGTACTGTATACAGGTAGATAAATTAGATAGACAGACCTACCAAATAGTAAGGAATTTTTGTCACCGGCATGTTGGGTCAGATTTAAACCAGTGACATAACAATGACAGGCTACATCATCCATTAGTAACCCAATCCCCTTCCCCCCACATGCCCATCATCTCAATTTTCAAAGAAAAAACTGGCAGTCACATTTACCTGTAAATTAGAACTTCATCATCCGAGCAGTTATATTGCAGCTGATACATTTTAACCCTGGGGGCTGACTTGCTCACCGTCCACTTGACCAAAGCTGAGGTAGTTGTCACCTCTGACACCAAGACAGTCCTTTCTGGTGGACCTTTTGTCTCCCCTCGATTGGACTTGCTGGAGCTAGTGATGTCAGAAAGCCTGGATTTGGGTGGAGCAGCTCGGCCCGTACCGTTGCTGAGGTGTGGAAGCTGCACGATCGAGAGCTCAATGGTCGCGGTCGATTCTCCAGCAGCATTGGCTGCGATGCACGTAAAAGTTCCATAATCCTTGGATGTCGTGATAATGATATCTAAAGTACCATTATCGTAGACTGCTGTCCTCGAAGAATTCCCAATGAGTCGGTCATCTGGAGCCACCCAGTGAATGACTGGGGATGGGTCCCCAATGGCTTTACACTTTAATGTGGCAGTTTGCCCTTCTAAAACCAGCAACTTGTGAGTATGCTGGGTAATGAGAGGTGGCTCACAAACAAATTCCTCTTCCCGTACATACCAAAAGTATCTTCCCTTTAGATTTGGAGGGGAAGCACAAGTTTCCATATCATCATCTCTGTCAAGCCGCCTTAACCACAGCAGCTCACAGTTACAATGCAGCGGGTTGCCTCCAAAGCTAAGAGACAGAGGTGGAGAAAATGGAGTTGCTTCTAATGGAGATGTTTGGGACCTGGCAAATATGGGATCTGGGGGGAGCTTCTGAAGTCTGTTAGAGGTTAGATCCAATCTGGCCAATTTCTGAAGATCTGCAAACGTCCCCTCTGTAATATAATCTATCAGGTTATGATCCAAGCTAATCTGGTGCAGGTTTACCATCTTCCTTATAGATTCCCAGGGGATGCCTTGGAGGTTATTGTAGGAAAGATCCAAGTCTTCCAATGTCACCAGAAAATCCTCAAAGGCTTCGTCCGAGATGCTGCTCAGCTGGTTGTTATTTATTATCAAGTGCTGAAGGTTAATTAAGCCTCTCAAAATATCCTCTCCAATGTTGGGCAGCCTATTGCTGTCCAAATGCAAAGACCGAAGGCTTTCTAGATCAGCAAAGGAGTAGGGCTGAATGTAACTGATGGTATTCCTGGACAAAGTGAGGTCAACAAGGCCAGACATGTTGGCAAAGTCCTGTCGGCTGATGTTAATAATGAAGTTACCCCCGAGTCGGAGTTCAACAGTCCTTCGATCTATGTCTAATGGTACAAAAAGGAGGCCCTTGGAGGGACACAGAGTCCCCAGCGACTCTGACAGGTTCTGACACACACAGTATTTGGGACAAGCATTGACCGCAACTGCCATTCCAAACAACAGGATGCTGCAGAGCAATTTTTCCATGGTAAATCAAGCAGCAGTACCTGCAAGAAAGGAAGAATTACAATTGAGTCAGCAGCTTTTCCATTCATGCTTTTTAGCTAATACCTTCCCCAAAGAATCAGCTCAAGTGCAACTTCTCCCAGTCACGTGGGAGAAGCTGGGATTGGACAATAGGGGATGGATCACTCGAAACTGCCCTGTTCTGTTCATTCCCTCTTAATCATCTGACAATGGTAACTGTCAGAAGACAGGATACTGGGCTAGATGGACTATTAATTTGACCCAGTATGGCTGTTCTTATCTTTGAGGTATCCACTCTTCCCAACAAGGGGTGCTAATCCTATGGTTACAGCATCAATTTCTCCCCCTATAATACACTTGTTTTTTTCCCCAGATTATGATGGTGATGTTTCAAATTGGAGTGGAATAGAAGTTATTATCCAAAATGACCATTCATATTTACAGACATAATGGTTTATGTCTGCTCATGAGTTTTGAGAACTAACTGCTCTTTAGCTATATGGTAACATAACAGGGTTTACAGTTAAATATTAGGTAGGTGGATGAGGACATAGCCTATCGTTGGGCAGTGCTCTCACTTAAAATCAGCGTGACTTCAGTGGAAATTATGCATACTTCTCTGAGGGCAGAAGGTGCCCACTAGTGATTACACATCCCTGCATAATAATGTGGAGTTAAACTTAGGGTCAAAAGTTACAATTTAGAGGATAAAAATAGCCACATATTTCCCCTTCAGTTATATGATAATTATAGTGTAATTATCTGGCCAGTCCATGGGGGAGGCTAGTTCATCCCCTCCCATGGCTAAACCCATTGGAGGCAGCTCAGGGAGAGGAAGTCTCCTTGAAAACTCACTGCATGGAGATTCCCTTCAACCTCACCATGCCATCTCACCCGGAGGTCACCCCCATGGAAAAGGCTGCAAAGCCCAGTGTAGCAGATCCCCAGGGATCTGTAGGACATCTGTGCTGGCTCTGGCCCCTGGCAAACTTCCCATTACCCTGATTTCCTTGCAGTTCAGACCCTCTGGGGTTGGGATTGCCCACTGGGTCTGAATGGAATGACCTGCATCCTGCCCACTCCCCCTTGGCCAGCCAGTCTCTAACCCCTTCCCCTGTGCAGATTCTAGACCCACAGAATGGTCTTTGTGGGGACTTGAAGAAGGGGAGCGGTGCTGTGGAGACAGCTGAGTGCCCTTCCATGCAGGAAAGGAGAGAACCACATGCATAGATTCCCCTCTGCGTGCAGAACTTGTTGGGGGGAAACTATCTGGACCTTGGTAATTAACATGGGCAAAGGTTACCATATAAGTAAAAACGGGATCTGAGACATCTGTGCCTTGATATTTAAAGTGCTTCTAGAGTATCTAAATTATACAGTAGCTAGAACTGTGATTTCTATTCTAATACACATCATAGACTCATTCCGACTTTCTATGTAGACCTAATCTCTTTCTCCCTTCTCCTGTCCCCTGCCCTCTTTTCCCATTCATAGTCTAGAACCATCTTCCTTTCTATCCCTTCGGTGTGTTGATGTCAGTGCCTTCTCCCCTTCATCTTCTGTTGTCCCTGATATCTTTCTTATATCTCCCTGCCTCATTGCTTCCATCTGTTTCTCAAATCTCATGTGCAAACATATCTTGCCATCTTGATCTGCTAGGAGCATTAATTCAAAGAACAAACAAAACACACTTAGAGATTGATTCAGAGGGCTAGATCGTGCCTGGAACCACATGCCTCTGCAGGGGAGTAAAAACACCCCCAGGTTCCTGCATGGGCTATCTAACCCTTGTGTCTGGGTGCACAGGCTATATGCCTGCCTACTCCCTTCATTCCCCCTCACCCCATAGGCAGAAAGGGATAAGGAATGGGCAGTCCTCCCTCTACCCCAGGCCCAGAGGCAAGGGGGAAGATGGGAGGGAACTGTTTCTCCGAGAGGTGTCCATGAACTATGAAGTCACCCAGGGTTAACTCCCAGGGAGGTGAATTTTACACACCTGTCCCCTGCTCAGGGCTATGCCTTAAGCACAAGCCAGCCCAAAATCACTAAGGAGAGGAGTTCACCTCCACTTGACCTTCATCACCTCTACTACATAACCTCACACCACTATTTGTGACCCTAGGGGCATGTAGCACCCCTTCCTGATCACACAGATGCCTCATGCTTTCAGTACCCTTTAGTAGCATCCTTTGAAAAGGAAACCTTATAGAATAAGAAAGAAGACATACTCATGCTATATTGGTTCCTTTTACAGGCCCACGTTTCCAAGGTAGCTTCATCTGATTTAATGAGGAGACATCTCAGAGGTTTGCTTTTGGTAAGTGATTGAAGTATTTATCTCCACCCCTGCAGCTCATCATCTTTTATACTGAGTAACATCAAGCCTTGTGTTACATTGTATGCTTTGAAGGAAGAAGTAAACAAGCTTAACCAAGGAGGGAAGGGTCCACTCTGAAACATTTACCTAGAGTAATTCTGACCCTGTGTATTTGTAGGTGATAAATAAATCATCTGGGTCTAAAAATGGCTTGGAGAGATGTTACCACTTCATACGCTGCGATTTCACACAGCACCCTACAAAGAGCTGCAGTGATTAGTACTGGGATGCCATTCGCCCCTGAGGAACCATCTGACACCAGGAACGCTTTTCAATAAATACAGCTAACTATGCATTTATATATTCACTTCATCCCACAGTTGAAAAGACCATTGTCCACCTATTATATCATAATGCAAAGAAGAGATCCAGGTTGGTTAATAATCCTCTGGCATAGGAAACCAAAGTCTGTCACATCGATGAATGTTTTCCAATTCTCGCTCAGAGAAATAGCTCCTGCTCCAATTACAGTCAATGAGAATTAGGGCCCAGAGCCATTTGTTATTGTAGGGCTGCTTTCATTGTTTGTATAACATGACTCAAATCCTGACCACTTGGGTGCCAGAGCACTGAGAGGCGTTGCCAAATTAAGTACATTCTGACAATCCTGTATCTATGCAGATTTTATTCCACTCTCATCACCATGGTATCTGAATACCTGAGTTCCTCCTTAAATTGTTTCTGCAGCTTCAACTGGGTACAGATTCTTCTGCCCTAAATTCAGAGGCGTAGTGAGCGCCCTCCGTACCCTCCGACCGGAGGGGCCCCCGCAAGGAAGGGGGCCCCTAAAAGTGGCAAAATAAATACCGCATTCCAGTTTCTGCATTGTAAGGGGCCCCGCCCGGACATATGTTCGAAGGGGGCCACCGTTCGGAGGGGGCCACGTTCTTTGTTGCTACGGCCCTGCCTAAATTGTAATACCGTGTTCATGTGCACCAAAAACAGCTGTTGTGCTCTGCCCAGAGGTGGCTGCATTTCACTAGTGGGGAAAAAATTATTCTGGTATACTCCCTAATACAGTATGTAAATCAGTAGAGAAAGAAAGGCGCTATATAAATGTAAAGTATCCCACGTGCTGAGGTGTACACAGTAGGGAATTTTGGGGGAGGTGTGAGGGGGAGGGGGCATTGGGATTTTTTTCTTTAATGACGGGGTTGATCAGCGATGTTGGGATATTAGCATTTATATAATATTATTTTATGGGGGGGAAGGATTGAAGCATCAGTAATTGCTGAGCTTTACAAACAAACATGACTGAGGGTTTTTTTTTTTTTAAAAAGGACTCAATTAGTGTCATTTTGCCTTATATATTAAATAAGGAACTAATAGTTAAAAGAGGTTTGCTAAGACTTAGCAACTATGTTATTGATGCAAATCTATGGCATAGTTAGCAAAGCTCTATAAATATCCTTTATATTATCATCAATTGCTAGTTTTCTACAGACAATAGGCTTTTTGAATCTTAATTACAATTGTGCTGAGAGGCTTTAATTTTGTATATTGCCCTACCAGCTGGAACAATGAACAAAAAGCAGCTTAAAAAAAACAATTTTGGGGAAAGATCAATACAGTTAATTAATAATAAGCCCTTCCCCAGCTTCTCTCTTCCCCCACATCTACAGTCCCCAAACATATATTTGAAAATATAAATGCACACTTAGGAGCAATGTCTCCTTTAAGTATCCCAATTACCTAACCACCTTTTTTTCCTTTCTTTTTTGAATTCTGCTAAATATCATAGCAATTTTGGGAGACAGTCGACTGAGAGTATCAGAGTGAAAAGGGTTTGCAAAAACAGGGGCAGGAACAGAACTTAATTATGGAAAACAGGCATTGATACACAGAGAGGAGGCTGTGAAACAGGAGCTTCTAAATGGCAATGCAAACCCCAATGGGGAAACCATCTGTGGAAGATTTGACAGCTCATCTGCTGTGTGTCTATGTGTTTGAGAGAGAGAGAGAGAACGCAAATGCTTTTACCAGCAGAAGGATCAATAGCATCTTTAGCAGGAGTGGCATATCATGGCAGCTGTCATTCTGACTGTAGTATGCTATTTGGAAGTATTACTGTGTTAGTTATTTTCAGTAGAAAGTCCCAGCCATTGTGATATATCACTAGCACTGGTATTTTGGTACCATAGACTTCCTTGGGATGCTCTACCTTAGGGCCCATTTATGTCATTTTTACTGAATAGTACCTTACCCGTACGAATAGCCTCACAGACTTCAGTGAAGCTGCTTGTGTGAGAACAGTGAGTACTCATCAATGATAGTGACAGATTGGGATCTTAGTGATGAGCCGCTAAGCTGGAGCCCAGTGCATTAGCGTTCATTCAGTTGTGTGCCGGCTAATGGAGCTTAGACTGCTCTTGCAACAGCAAGGCCCAGCAACCAGCTTGTAGGGTTTCAGGACACGTGCATTTGCTTCCTGCTGAGCCCTAGGACTCCATGGTATATGCAAGCTTTTCTATTCAGGTTCTGTATGAGGCTAGAAAGTTAGTTAAGGTATGGATGAGGCTCCTCAAGAAGAGAACGTTGTGGGGTTCCCAGTGTAGTTCCCTCCCCCACCCCTTAGATTTTTCCTGCAGGAGGAATGGAGACTTCCAGCCCATCGTTTGGATGA